GGGGGCTCCTGCTTGTTTTTGGCCTCCTGCCCGGCCAGGCGCGCCGGCGAGCTGAGCTGTCAGCGCGCGCCGGGGCTGGGGGCCGGCGGTCTCCGGGATTGCCAGGCAGGCTTTTCTCACGCCGCTTCGGCACCAGCGCTTCCAGGAGCCTCTCATCCTCCTTATCTTTTTGGCAGGGAGAGAATGACTTTTCTTACTATTATTTAATTTTTTTTTCTGTTTAACCCCGGCTGCAAGCGCTGCTTGGCGCGCCCTGGCATTAAGGCACGGCTCTTTGCATTGCAGCAACGTCCGCGGGTCGGAGTCTCTTGAAACGTGCTCTGTTATGGGCAACGTTTCCCCCTCTGGGGAACCCTTTAAAGTATTTTCTGGCTGTGCTTACGTGCTAGTTTATTCCTGAGCGTAGGAAGAGCTCCCTTTTTAAGTTCAGCGGTGGTGCTTGCGTCCATGCGAGTGACTTGTGCTGGTTCTGACCCAATCCGTTAGCTCTTCATCCCATAGAGCTTTCCTGGGGGAAGAACACTTAGGCAAGAGCCTCCCTCCTGTTGAAGATCAAAGGAGATGAGGGGCTCTGAGCAATGAGCTGGCAGCGGCTGAGCTGCGACCTTCCCCTGGCTGCTTCATCCCCAGGCTGGCCCCGAGCCTGGTGCCCTACCAGCCCCGGCTGGGCGTCCCAGGGCAGCCTACGCGGCTTTGCCGGCGAGCGGGCCTCTGAGCTGCAGGGACGCGTTTCTTTTGCTGCACGACAGCGGCACGGTTTGCTTTACTGCAGGCGAATCGGATCCCACGGTCTTCAAAGTCACCGGGACGCGTGTGCAGATTCAGCGTCGAGACGGTTCATTGGTCTGCGGGCAAGGCCTCTGCTCGTGGCCGGGACTGAGGGCCGCTGCGCGGGCAGAGGTGCTTTGGCCCTTGCCTCCCCGGTCCGGCGCGGCGGCGGACGAGCGCACCCCCCTCTCTGGCTGCCTTGCCAAGTGACTGCCCTGCCGGCGCCGTCCCGGGTCGCTTTGTGGGGCAGCAGGGTTGCTGCTGAGGACGTCGAGTGCTGAGGACGGTGCGGTTTCAGGCTGGCCCGGAGCCGCGTGTGACTGCAAGGACCCCAGTATAAGAGCTCGTACTGGGATAAGCGTTCTGCAAGGCGATGGGCTGCAAGCGCTAGAGATGCAACGTGAGCTGTGTACCGAACTGCTGCATCTTTCCCAGTTGTTTTTTTCCAGTAGCTCTTGGCATGGTTTTCTCCTGAAATAACCTGAGAGGAGAACCATCCCGCTGTAGCCTAGAACAAGCCCTTGATGTTAACGCCTTAGCCTGGTTCCTGCGCTCGGTGCCCGCGTGCGGGGCATGGGTGGTTTTGTGCCCAGGCTGCTGCGGTCGCATGCAGCTGGTAACGGTTCTGGCGCTGGCTGCACCCAGGAAGCCGAGCGGGGATTCGCCCCAGCGCTCGCTCGGCCAGGGCTCGGCTTTGAGCTGTCGTCCGTCTCCCAGCTGCGAGCGGGAGAACCTTTTCGCTCCCTAGTTCACGCTCTTATCTGTTCACTTGTAGCTTTTCCCCACTTTTATGTCTCTTTGGGCTGTTGCCAAATCAATTACAGGCTGTATTTACAGGAGAAAGAATTGCTTCTCTTCCTTTTTTTTTTTCCAAGTGGTTTTTGGAGGTTAAAAATTCCTGTCTAACTCAGCTCTTTGGATTGTACCACAAGCTTGTAGCATGTAATAAATTGGCTCGTTTATTAGTGAGCCAACACAGTCAAAAGCAAACAAAGTGGCTTGCAGATTAATCCTGCCCTGTTTGCGATAAGCAGTGTGATCCAGGCTCTTTGCAGGAGGATAATGGACAGGGCAGACCAGTTTTGACGGATGCACTGTGCACTTTATTTCAGTGCCCTCGTTCTCTCGACCAGCTCATTGATACTCCTTAATTAACCCTTAACGTGCAATTACTTGGTGCCTAGATAGCGCTGTTGTTGTTGTCCTTGAGCGCTCTGAAAAACAAAAGCTGTAAGGCAGCACCTGGTGAGGAGCTGTGCCGTGAGCGGTCAGCGCAAGAGGAGCGAAACGCGGCGCCGGGGGCTGCGGCAGAGCCCGGGAGCCAGTTCCCTGCTCTGGACTTCGCGCTCCTCCGTCCTTGGAGCCCGCTTCCCCGCTCAATGGAGACGTAGCTGGAACGCGTTTCAAAAGTAGCCTGTGTAAAAAGGGGAATAACCTGGCATCTGGAGCCCTTTAAGTTTCCATTCTTTGGGCACCTCTTGTGCAAGAAAGAGCATGTTATTCAATACGCCCAAAGTTAGCCACTTTGCACGAAACGGGCAGACAAAAGAGGGATGAAGTTTGTCACCATGGTGAGTTGGGAGCTTTCTGCAAGGAGCCGAGGTTGCGCGCTGCTAGCAGAGCGCTTTCGTGGTTCCCTCCTGGCCTGCAGACGTTGTCTTGCCTCTGTCTCCAGCGACACCGGGGGGCTGTGCTTCGGGGCCAGTCACTCAGGATCTTCTGGTGTGACTTTAGTTTTTGCAGAGTTTGGTTCATTTGAGAAGGGCAGTGGAAAAATCCACGCTGCTCTCTGTCCTTTAAGGAGCAGTTTGCAGTTTCCTAGCCAGCGTGGTGAGGGCAGGGGGTGTGCAGCAGCGTCTGCCTAGGATGTAGCTCAATGGGTCTTGCTCAGGGTTAGGAAAAACGCAGGCGTGCAGCGCCAGCACGTCCCATCCAGGAAAAAAAAAAGAGCTCAGGCTAAAGTGCGAGAGAATTGATCCGAGAGGAAGCCACCCTGCGTTTTAACCTTCGCCTCCAGTTAGGCGATGCTGCAAGCGCCAGCGGCGATGCAGGGAAGGTGTTGGGGAGAGCCCCACGGTGGGAGCTGGCTCGCGGGCGCGTCGCCCCGGAGCGCGGGGAGGACCCAGCGCCAGCGCTCGCGTGGCAAGGGTTGACTGCAAACCCAGCCGTCCTCCGCCGGGGTTGGCAGTGTCCGTTTCGCAACCGCGTGCGCTGGTGATTGCTTCTCCTGCTCGCTTCAGCAGCACCTGTTGTTAGCCTGGGGATTAAGGTTAAAAGCATATTTAGCGTAACTCAGCAGAACGACAGCTCATAGCAAGTAAAACTGAGCCGCCGGCAAGGCCGAGCAGTAGCTGGGAGGGAGTATTGCCGCGCAGATAACCTTGCTAGATAAGGAGACACTTGCCCCGTGCGGTGCCAAGCCCAGCCCCGTAGGATGCACGTGCTGCAATACAGTTCTCTAAGGAGAGCATAAGCTTATTTAGGGCAAACTCCACCAGTGGGGCTCCCTGGGTTTAGATGAAGGTGACAGGCTGGTCTAAATAATTATCTAATGGGACCATGTCACCTGTCACATCTTCAAGAAGAATTTTTATCCAAAGCCTTGCAATATGAGACCAGATCCAGTGGGGGATGGCTTGCAGGTGAGCCTTGGCGGAGCAGCCTGGAGGCACCACAAGTTCCATGGAGGTCTCGGGTGCTCCCACCAGGTGGATGGGGCTTGCACAGCTCATACGTTCTCCTTTTGGGTGACAGTTCCGCATTTTGCTGTCTTTGCAGGTCCTCAGAGCAAGGTGTCACGATGCCAACCCAACGAACACAACTGCCTGGGCACGGAGCTCTGCATACACATGAGCAAACTGTGCAACGGGCTCCACGACTGCTTCGATGGCTCGGACGAGGGGCCACACTGTCGGGGTAGGTGTCCGGGGAACAGCAAGAATCTCTTCCCCGCTGAGCCTCTGTGGACGAGGGGGATTTGTGGGTGGGTGGGCTGTGTCACAAAACACTCCCCTCGGCTCCTTTCCTTCCCCAGCCGTGGCAAGAATTGCAAGGCTTTTCCCTGTGCCTGGTTATGTGGGGCGAGTCCTCATGCGCAAGCTCAGGTGTGTCGCGCTGATGCTTTGTTTAACCGCTTTGCACTGGTGCGAGCGCGCTTGTGCCTTCCCTTCTCCGTTTTGAAGGAAGTCAGTGTGGGCAAGTAAAACGCCCCTCGTTCCCGGAGCCAGTAGGCCATAAAAAAGCTGCGTTGCCTCCTGGGTTAAAAGCTTGGTGGGTTTGGATCCTGGTTCAGGTAAGAGATGCCGGTATTTTTTCCCCCTCTCTAGGAGCACTGGCCCCGCTCCTGGCCTGTCCCTCGTTGCTAATCCTGCTGGGAAACTCGCCCTCAATGGCTGTGCGTCGGCTCCCCGGTGCGCGGATTAGTTGCTCAGAAACATGTGTCCTGGCTTGACCGCCAGAGCCGAGCCCCTGCTCGGGGCCAGCGACGTGCTCTCCTCCCTGGGCCTTTTTTCGCCCTGGGGCGGAGGGCTCCTGCCACGCTGAACTTCCCGTCTGCTCGAGCCTGAATCCCGGCCTGGGACACCCTGTCCGGAGCGGCTTCCTCCCCCGGGACGGGGGGGCC